GACCTCCCATGCTGGCTTGTACTAAGGACTAACGATCATAGCAAAACGCAAAGTCGTCTCATCTACATTTGGGATTGTGATTCCTGGGCCTAGTTCTCAACCGATACTGGATTAGAAGTCAACATTATTCCAACTATTCCAAATGAGCTGATCGCCACTTTTTCGACAAACCTAAGGGTTGTTAGTGGCACACCAATAGCAATCTACGATCATCAGTTACATACACTGAACCTAGGTCATCGGCGCACGTCCCGCTTGGTATTCACCTTTGTCGCAGTTTTATTTGCCATCATCATAATAAAAGTTCTACGGCATTTCGACCTCTTGTTCGATGCGTGGCATCAACGCCAACATCGCAGCTGTTACCCCAGTCTACATCTTACCACAGACCACGCCAGACTACGCTAACCTATTCTCCCGGCACCCAAAGCTGGTTCAGCTAGTGAACGCGATTCTATCTTTAGCACCCGTAGTGACGCGCCACATACGAAGGAAAGACCCGCCCGTCTCATAGTGTCCACGCCGACTTTCACCCTGGAAACTTAAGATAGCTAGGACGAAGATTAAGCGCATGCTCGAGCTTGACATAATCGGCTCCTTAGACAATCATTTGTTCACCCTACTGCATATGGTACCTAAGATCTCTGGTGACTAGTGCCATTGCGGAGACTACCGCGCACTCGACAAGCTAAATGTCCCAGACAGGAACCCCACATTGCCCCGCTGTATTCAGTGAGCAGCTCTAATCGTCCTTCAGAAAGCTGTGTAGGTTGCCGATTATCCTCGTAGTACTTCTGTACGCCAGCTCGTGGTCTCAAGGAGCAGAAGTATGGTGTGTAATCTGAGGGCGTGGGTTCTAGCCTGTGTGGGGTCCGGGCGACTCTCGCAATATCCTTAGCCCAAGTGCGACTGTTGGTGGTTGCGCAGCAGCAAATCGTCGGTACCGTCGTAATGTTGGTCCTTTTCGATCAAGCCAAATATATGGTTTCATTCTGACCCATTTTGAGTACCGTCTGCTATGCTCAAATTTAGAAGACCTAATAAGCCTATGCTGCTCCAAAATGCTTACTTTATTCAGTACGTTTGTAGCTGGTTCGTATATAACAAGGCATGCCTTGTTTAAACTGAAAGGTAAAAGTTGTCTACATTCGATGGATACGAGCAACAAGTGTTAGGCTTTTGACTGCTCGGTTGATCAACACAGACTTCCTAAAGCGCGATGCTGTATAACCTGTCCAAAGCCGTTTATAAGCTATGTCACTCATTCCATTGACTGTGCAAAAGTTTGCACATCATATTTTTGGTATGCATGAAGCATTCTGTCGAGCATTGTGTAGCATGCACATTTCTCCACCTACCAATTATATCTGACAATGTACACGCCTGGAGCTTATTGCACACTGAGCAAAAAGTATTAAACAATGCTTTCACGAATAATCATGTCATAGTAAGCTTGACACAAGGTTAATTAACGTTCCTCATACGCATATGCAACGTCTCCGACCCCATCAAAAAATATGCCACATACCTTTGCCGATGACATCATTTTCACATTATCAATAAAATCCAGTCTGACCTACAGATATATCTTCATGAGCAGGAACGTAGGTGCAGCACATGGAAAATCAAATCCTCTTCAAATAATGCCGCTGCATATGTTATGGGGATAGTGTTGCACGTAGCGCATTGGTGGTAGACGAGAAGAAGCTGTCACCATGCCTTACAATTCGTGCTCTTAAGCTGTGTGTCTCAGGTTCCTTTAAGCCCAATGTACGGTTGCCGTACGTATCTGAAAGCGTCCATAATTCGGGATGCCTGACAGTGACGAATGGCATTCAACTCATACTGTAATATTGCCAGTTAGTATAATCGCAAATAAGAAGTGACATCAAAGCAGCTACTCATACCGACTCGGAGCGGATGTACTGCAACAATCAACTCTCGAACGTGACTTGGGTGTCCTGGTTCAAGATGACTTGGGTTGCTCCAGGCAATCCGAAGAGGCCTCGAAGACCGGGAACCAACACGTCGGGCTGTTGAGGCGGGTGTTTGGACAAATAAACAGCTCCATATTTCGACAAATGCTCAGTGCGTATGTTCGCCTCCATGTCGAATATGCAATTCAAGCCTGGCATCCATGGCTGAAACACGACCTTAATGCACTGGAGCAGCCACAACGCCGGGCATCTAAGAACGTAATTGGAATGCGCAATCGGTCCTACCAGGTGAGGCTGCGACAACTAGGATTGTTCAGTGGAAGCTATCGCAGACTACGAGGCGACCTGATTATGACATACTTGATTCTGCGAGACCCACATCATGTGTGCCGCCCTTTACTGCAACTCAGCAGCAATACAAACCTGAGGGGCCACTCATTAAAACTCGCAGAACAATACAGTCGTCTGGAGTGCCGCAGAAAATTCTTTTCCATCCGTCTCTGTCACCCGTGGAATGCTCTCCCAGAGTCGGTCGTCTCTGCACCGACACTAACAATATTTAAAAGACGGTTGGACGATGCACTCATCCACTTACACGTTGTTACTTAACACTATGTCTCCATCCCACACCTGGAGTTTACCCTGGAATTATTTGTTGTTAACTGCGGGTGTTGTGAATCTAAGTGGATCGCAGGACTGCAGCGAAGCAAACGATAAGTCCTTATTTTCGTATTCAAAGTATTAACTATTTTACTATCCGTTTCATCATAATTGTTATGTTGATATCCCCTGCAACTATCCAACGGGGCTTGTAAAGCAACGCTTTTTAACCCGTATAAATTCATTGTTCAATGTTCATTGACTGTAATATAAAAGGTACAGCCGTCCTTCACGATGCGTTTTATAAAAAAACGGGTTACCTCAGGAATCACGGCCAGTATTAGATATGGATGACAAAAGGATTCAGAGTTGCTTATTAGGTATGATCCGTAAATGTGTTTTTACTTTAGTTATCAAAGCGATGCTATCAATTCTCCCTAACTGTAATAAAATCGCCGAGGTTGACCCCATCTTATTCCCTAACACATCTCCAAGCTAACCGTTTTAATTTGCTCTGTTCGAACATTCCTCCCGTAGACCATATGGATCAAACTTTTTGTATTTTAACCACTTTAATCCAGTCCCTTAAGTAGTCTACTTACGGAGCTTTTACTGCGCAATAATAAATATGGACGTAACATGTTCCCAAAAGAAAAATGGTCGAGCCCAGGAATGATATTCTATTTTAATCCCCACGCTGCTTTATGAATTAGGCAACCACGGATTTTTATATTTTGATTTAAAGGAAGTCACCATATGTCTATTAAACAAAGAATATACGGTAATGTAATCTCAACAGTCTAGCAACTAGACATAGAGCCAACAAAGCCATGGAGATCAGTGGATAGGAGACAGACATTGCTTCATAAGCATCGTGGCATGGTAGTTGAAGGTGGGCAACACACTTCAGCTAATATCCCGCAAGAAGAATGGAACATTTTGACAAAAAATAGAACAAAACCTCTTTAGTTTGTTTGTTCCACGCCGATTTTTTTTCTATTCTCGTCATTTTCAATATTGGTAGTATTAAACATGTGAAACAATACAATACTGTACACAATTCTTCCACTGACTCCGGTTGTGGGTCATATCTCCAAGAGTGCTAAGCCATTGGCACTCCTCATCTTTGGGTCCCCATTCTGGAAGACGTACGGACCCAACAGCGGCTAGACACGACGTCAGCGATTTCATGTGCTGCCGCCAAGTGGAAGGCTGACCACCACGCGGTCGCTTCTAGCCAGGTCCAAAAAGTTAAGGGCAATAAAGTGATGGGATGCTTAATGTAGACGTGGGTATAAATACGTTATTTAAGGAAGCACCAAAAAACATGTAGGAAATGACAAAGTTCCCTGATTTGATGGGTAGTTTACCCTCCTGCTTTCTTACGGTCATAGCTAGGGGAGTATGATAAGTCCGTGACAAAGTACGTGCTGATATACTCGCAAGCCTTAGTGCTGCTACCATTTGTTTTCTTTTCTTTCACGTTATTCTGCTCAATGACACGTCGTGTGTTTTGAGAACGAGTTGTGTGCAATATGTTAGATAGCTAAATAAAATCTTTGTGCTTGTCTTTCAGTGAAATTCTATCTCGCGCCCACGTTGCTGCCAAACTTGACAAAGTGCTTTGAGTCAGTGCCAGAAAACGCAACTCTAACTCTTACAAGAGCAGTTCTTTCTTCAGTTACTCCTTCCCACCTTCGCCTTCTTCATTTTCATCTACCATTCAACTCTATACATGACCTCGTCCAATTTGTGGCTCTCATATGTACATGAAAGCTAACAGGTGAACCAGACGTAGTTTTAACCCATATTCACTCTTATGTAAATCTCCGTTTATACTTAGTTGTACAAATTGCATGCTTTCACCGAATGCAAATGATTAGAAACAAATTAATTTGTTAGGCTCGTTCGCTTTTAATTACAAACAAGCCTATATAACTGACATGTATATATATTACTCTTTTCCACCTTTAAAATGCTGTATTCAATTTGCACGGACTTACTTACATAATACTACACCTTTCTCCTATCATACCAAACAACACTATCCCCCAAATTCACAAGAATGTACTACGCAGACTCTAGTATAGAAAACAAGGAGCGTGAATCAACTACCTTCACCGACTGGGAAATGACATTCATTTCAATATTACAATATCAGATGTAAAAATATTTAAACAAATGCGGTCAAAAAACAAATTTACAATATTTGTAACCCGAGTAATGTCCCTCTTTTACTCGTAAACAAGCTAACGTGCGTTTCAGTGATAGCTTTCCATAGATACTGCTGTTAGCTGGTTTGATCGGGATCTCTGCTTTCTACTTCGTTTATCTTATGACTACGCCGCTTACGATCATACAAACCTAAATGAAACAACAAGGAAAAGCAGTTGCAGATTCTCTAGGGAATAAATGAATGATAGTGACATGTTCTTGTTTATAATTACTGTGAAGGGAACTTGCCTTGTTATCGGGCATCAGCAATCCAATGTAAAACGGTAATATGGCAACCACATCGATGATACTCATGACGGTTATAAAAAATTTCCAGCGATTTGGAGCTGCGTACATCCGAGCGCAATACTCCAAGGTAAATATTATCACGCAAGCGGTGTCCAAACAAAAGAAAGCGTCCAAGTAGCGATCACCACACGCTCTTTGTTTACTTATCCCAGGTTCATAACCACAAGGGATTGTTTCCGTTATGTTAGCGAAAACAGAAACGGCAATGAAAAATCCAGTCACGTAGTAAATAACAGTTGCGGTGGTAGAAAACTCTGGGTTTTCAAAAGCTTGCCAAAGGCGGTCACGAAAATTTCTCGGAATATTGCTGGCTTCTTTGGTTACTGACTTTTCCTCAAGCAGCCTTTCGGAATTCTCCCGCTTACTATCGTGATAATCCTCGTAACAGCAATCACCCAAAGCCTCCGGTGCAATGCGAAAATATGCAAGCTCATCCTCGTATTGCATAACACATTCTTTCTTTGGGTAATGTAGATGACCGCAGCGATAATAAGATAGAATATGCCGAAAAAGTTCTGGATCACGATCGAAATAGTATTCACCATTCTTTTCATCATAAAAGTAGTCTCTTTCATCCGACCCCAGTAATGTATGCGGATATCTGTTAAGACTGCTCTTGGGTACTTCAAAACGATGTCCACTAACATTTATGACTGCCTTCTGCTCAACTAGCGCAGCAATACGTTTTTGGGCTAGCCCATCACGTGCAGCAATAGCTTCGGGAAGACAAGTCTGGGAAATTGGGATCCAACCGATTGCGGTGGCTCGAATGAGCGGTAGCCAGGCAGACGCTCTGACAAAGTCACATACTTGCGTCATGCTCAAGGGTTTAGCAATAGGCCCCAAAAATTGCGCTTATAAATGACGAAGGAGGAGAAACATGAAAACGCTAGGCATCTGACAGTCATGGCGGAGGCGCTGATGCTACACACCGTGAGCACAACGCCGCGCGTACACTCATTGCAGTAACAGCAACGTTTAAATGATCTGCAAGACAATGAGTACAAATAGTGCTAATATTCAACAATTTTAACAACTCACTCCGCTCTCTGTGAATATGATGCACAGTTAATGTTGCAACCCTAAGGGTAACAAACTTTAAATATATTTTATTAACTGATGTAAGTAGGAATGTTTTTACGTCGAAAATTACTGCAATTCTATGGGAGAAATTTGAAATACTGTTATTTGTATCCACTTGTCTTTGTAATTGAAGACAGACTCATTATTGTACATTGAGGCGAAGGTTGTGTCTTTAATTGCGTCGGTTGGTACAGGTAAAAACAAGTGCCCTTTGTGTCCTTAAGTTGGTCAAAAGAGCTCAGGTCAGGTACAACGGACGCTAGTGGCTTTCGCCTAACCAGTGTCCTGTTTCTTGTGCCGTTAAGTGAAGCGGCCCCGGAACTTCGACGTTGGATTGCCTTCTCTTACTTCCGCAAAGGTGTAACCAATGAACACTGCGATGTTAAATCGGAGCTAAAGTTGTTAGTCGGCGCACAAAATAGGCAGCCTTGTTCCATTGTCTGAGCAATTGTCATGACATCCTTGCCGACTTCAGATAGCGTCCTGGTAATAACAAACCAGAAGCATGGAAGATGAATTGTCGCCCCGAATTTATGCAGCCAAAGTATGGGGCCATTGAAATTAGCTCATGTAGGCTCCATCGAACTGGTCCTTGACCGCTTTTCAGTTGCAGTCCATTTGAACATAAGCGGAAATTGCGACCATTACATGTCCGGTTTCTCTTCGCCAGTTAAAACTGCACGATCCATCGAGGCTACTGACGCATAGGCGAACGGCGCTTGTAATCCATTCAGGAAGTGTGTCTTTGCCTTTTAAATAAGAGCGATTTTAACAGCACGTCGCCTTGTGATGGCAAACACTGCACCTCGTTTATTGGAGATCCAGGGGTGACAATCGAGAGGTTCTGATGAGAGCCTAACGTTCTGTTTCGGATAAGCAGTAGGCGTCGATTGTATGCGCACGGGGTCCGCTATTTGTCCAAGTCGGTTTAATATGCCCATCACTAACCTTGTCTAGACCTGATGTACAGAGACTGGAGGTCATCCACTGGTATATCCCGATTGGGAGAACGGCGACATTTTCATTATGGAATGCCGCAATTTTCACCCTTTGAGGAGTTGACAAGGTACTTGGCAGACATGGTTGAGTGGATAAGTGGGTGATGTGTTTTGGGAATAATTGCAATAAGATTTAGAGATTAAGTCATCTGTGGAGCGAAAGCTTGCAGTTCAGTTGGGTTCCCCTGTTCACCGTCGGCTATATCCTACCTAGACGCCCAGACCGAAGTATGGGATGGCCTAAGGTGATTGCCTCTCAGAGCGTATGGCCAAATGACCTGGTGGGCAAGGTAGCAGTGTGAGTTTCGGGACCCGTAACAGCTAATAGCCAGTGACAGCTAAGCACCGCATATGCCTGGCAACAGCATACTTGTTTATGACGGGTAAAATGTATAAGCTTAACATATACTTTACGTCGGCAACTTAAAGAGCACAAAAGTGGACAAGGTGAAATGTTTACCGGTGAAAATACGAAACAGCAGCCTAAAAAATTTAGGTCGTGGGAGGGAAGAAGCTCCACACAAAATGGAATAATAAGGTCAATGACGAACACGCTTATTAAAAGGTTCACTAGGATTGCTCACCCGCTTGCACTGAGTTAATTGCGTTGGTTCAAATTTTAATTCCTAATTAGTGAGCTGAAATTCACTCCAAATCATCAGTACACGCCCAAACCTGCTTTTTGTACTTGACAGTTGAAGGCTTAGACATATTAATTTCGAAGGGCGTTCTGGGGCTGGCAACTCCAGAGAGGCAGTATGCTTGTTGTTACTCTAAATGGTTTTACTGTCAACATTATTTTGAGCTACTACTTCTAAGGTTAGCGTACGGACTGAGTTTCAGGTAGCGGCACACACACAAGACTTTGTACATCCGGTAATTGGTATAATACGATGTCTCTACGTAACCACCGGTAGAGTCTACTGAACCCACCCATGTTGCCGTCAGTGGGGCAAACATATGTCAACTTTCGTTCATTTCTGTCGTCAGATTTCGAACGCAGCGAGGAGACCTTTTGACCAAGTTGACGCAAGTAGGTTTTGGTCATCAAAGCCAAGCCGGAGGAGTCCATATACCCGGGATGACTCTGCAAGAAACTATTGTGCTGTCTTCCACTATTGAAGTAAACTCAGGCTATCTGGAACAGACGAATTTGCTTTACCCGGGCAAACTGGGGGCACATTCCTGATGGTTTGCCCCGTAGGTCGTCTGCATCAATTTTGTAAATGTAAGCCTACCGATGGCCAATGTGTACCACGCGGTACTTGTCCACTTTGTATGGTGACCTGTTTTACACCGACCAATCCCCGCTCCACTGAGATCGCGCTGTAGGCTCTACTGGTAGTTCGATCCTCCGTTCTCCACTCGTACTTTAAAATAGTCCGCGTTTACTACGATTTAACGGCAACGTCTCTCGACTGTTTAGTAGATAGGCCTCAAGAAAGTCTGAGTAACGTAATCTGCCGTATTTTGCACAACACTCGATGTTTATTAAAGATTTTCAGATTCCAACTTCTAAATGCTGTGTGAGACTAGTTTACCGATCCAGCTATATGTCTACTGACGCTTACCATTATCTACTGCCAAGTTGCTGACACCCTGTGTTATTGTGACATCTAAATCTTACACCCACTGTGCACTACCCAGCTGGCCTTAACTCTGTTCTGCTGGTCCACCAAGACGACTTACCTACAAGGCGAGATTCAGCGCACCAGTAATAAAGCTTCTGGCGCTCACTAGCCATTTACTTTTTTCCACGCCTTATCATCTTGGTCTTGAATGGCCGCTCAGCCAGCTACTGCTTTTCCCTCACTTAACTTTTCTGTGCTACCTTTAACTCGCAATCCTGTTAGGATTACTAACCTCGCTTGATGCAGCGCCGTAGTCAAGTATGTACTGACGTTAACTTGCCCTCTTCTAGGGTATAGCTTCTGACACTGCTCTACTTGGGCGTTGAACTCAACTACTGGCAGCTCACTTCTCAAAAGTTATTATCACTCTTCTTATTGTCCACCCAGCAGACACCTCAAGCGCGCAACACAGCGACTAGCCAGGTTGCTTCTAAGGTTCACTTCGACTTACTGACTTACGTACCTACTTCATTTTATCCGGTTGCCTCCAAGTTGTAAACAGGACATCAAATCCCCATCGCTTCTTCGCATCTATTGCTTTTTTTCCCAAGCATGACACATTTAGGTACCATAAATAACGACAAAGCAGCAATTGGCATAATGTATCAATTCTCAGCGCTATGTTACATTCCGTTTTGACCTTCCTTTGCATTTTCATTGCGTATCTCTGTCTCACTCTTTTACGTTCTCTTACTTTCCATGTTTCTCACACGTACTTCCAATGCACTTGCTCTATTCTCCTACAACTGGCTGGGCCGCAATTAGCAACTCCGTTAGTTACTCTCATAAAAAGGGTTTCGTTTAAATGGATAGGATTGTAATCTCGTAAGGCCTCAGGAGATCCCGTTATGCGCCTGAAGATAGAAAATAAATGGCGGATAACTGCTATTTAAAGCGCCAGCGTTGGACTTCAGGCCAGGGGAACATTTAAGTGCGACAAATTCCTGTTATCCTAGTTCATGAATAGCAACATTTTTAAATAAATCAATGTTGGTTTACTTACTATCGAATATGTGACGCACGTCTATGTAAATAAATAGAAAATTAATTACTTTATTCTCGCATTCATCGAGCCATACCACCTTAGGTGTGATCAAAATACATGATCGGGTAAGTGCAACTGCTCAGAGGTTTGATGGCAATTATAGCAACGACAGTAGAAATAGGTTCAGGTGTTTATGATTGAAATGTAAAAATAGCAAAAATGTTATCGGATCACTTGGTTTGTTGTGAGTTAGTTACACTTTTGGAACTTTCGGAACTAGTAGATTGGATGCACGTAAATGCATTTTAGCAATACCTCATTGTTTCGACTAGGAGTCCTACTGGGAGTGCCCTTTCAACCCTTGATATCGTGACCGCCAGACATGGTCACTTGATCGCCCTATGCGTCGAGCCGCCCATAGGTAAGAGTGATCATTGTGTTTTGACCTTTTCTCTGGACACACCGAGGCTTGCAGAGAACCGTCGAATGGGAAGGGATTTAACTCGTATTGATTTTAGGAAGCTGCGGGATCGAGCCCTTCAAATCACTTGGATCACTGAACAGGACAAGGCCACTTTGGAATAGAAGTGGCTTCTACCCAAAAGTGGACTTGTACAGTTGCTGAACAAATTTGCTCCTCCTCGCCCCAAGAGACATCTTGGGAAACCCAATGGTGGAGGTGAAAAATTGATAGAGCGATAAAGAGGTGCAATGCTGAGTGGAGAAAATATCAAGAAACTCGGGGCTTCCGACGTTGGCTGCAATACAAAATTTGTCGAACTATGGTTATTAAGTTACAGCGGCAGACGATATTCTTATGAACTTAGGTGGGCCAAATTTGCGAAAACTAATCCCAAGTGTTATTGCAGTTATGTCCAATCAAAGGCTTCTTTAAGAGAAGTGGTCGGCTGTCTAACCACGGAGGACGGTACCCATGCTGTAGGCGACGTTGATAAAGTAGAAGCGCTGCTACGTGTCTACCAAAACCTGCATCGCAAGGATAGTGGGCCAGCCTTACCATCACCGCCGCACTGCTCAACTAGCTAGACAATGCGGGAAATTATCCTCAGTGTGTCAGAGGTCTTCACGGTGCTAGCCAGTTTGAACCCTTATAAATCAGCTGGTCCTGATAGTGCCCATCCTGCCATAGTTAAGCCTCTGGCTGATATCCTACAGTATCCCGTAGCGGAGTTATTCAAACAGTCTCTTCAAGAAGGCAAGCTGCCACGTGATTGGAAGGAGGCGGCTATTGTTTCTATCCAAAAGGGTTTCTAAGTCGGTGTCTC